TAATCGTGATTAAAATTCGATTAATTGAGCAGCCCTAGTCTAATGTGAGGCAGACAGCTGTGTTCACATCGAGGTCCAGCGCTGTAAGTTTTAATTCCAATTGCCGAAGCAAATTAAATCTTTTTAAAAGACAGAGATTTCTCCTGTACTTCCTTCTGAATAAATTCAGACGTGACTAACTTGAGAGAACACTTTAATGTCTCCATTCCCCTAACTCAAAGTGGCAAGGTTAGAAGAAAAACACACTCAACAACCTATCATTATTCTAACTCATACCATCTGCCACAACCAGCTGAAGCCAGGCCACTTAGTATACATTCAGTTACAGCGTTTTACAGGCCTTGGCTTTGAGGTTTCATTGTTGAGTTGTGAATGCAAAAATAAAGAAATCAGACTAAAGAAAAGGTCACAACTGGGTGTCATATGAAAAACAAAGAGAAATACTATTTTAGCTCTAAACTGTATCTACATCACTGACCTCTGACTTTCAGCTCCACTCGTTTCTTTATCTGGATGTTTCCCCCCCTGCTGATGGTGCAGGTGTAGGTGTTTGTATCTCTGTATGTGGGAAATTTCAGGGTCAGACTGAAGTCCACAGGTTTCAGAAGGTTTCTCTTTATCTTTGTTCGGTCTTTGTAATCCTGGTGCTGTTCTCCAGGCTGGTCAGAGCCATTCTCATACACATGGACCATCCTGTTGTCTCTGTCTTTCCACTCCACATTAGTGTTTTTAAGAAAGTTAACTATATTTTTGCAGGGCAGCTGGACAGACTCCACCCCTGAATCCACCTCCACCTTTTGGTAATCTGAGGACAACAAATCATAAAAGAATATAAGACATTAGTAGAAGCGCTACTGATGGTCACATGACCTCCTTGTCCCTCCTTGTCTTCTAGTCTCAGTCAGAATGTGTCTCAGTTTGCTCCTGATGTGTTCCTGACTCGTTCTTTGGTAACTCGTCTGCAGCGTCCTGTAAAATGCTGCAGACATGTTGGATGAAGAAGAACAGACAGACTGAGCCTCCACAGTCGGCCATGTCTCACACACATCAGCACAGAAACCATGAAGACCTCATGTGTCTGCTCTGAACACAGTCAAAAGACCACCAGAGGACACCTGTTAACCATCAGCATTATGGGTAGTGTAGCAGGAGACACTCACCTGACATGAAATAGTGCCGGAAATAAAATAAAAGACCTCCAAAAACCACAAGAAGAACCAGGAGAACCAAGAGAGCTGTGGCCCAGGGTGGAAATGGTTCTGTGAAAAAAAAACAACCTTCTAATCTCTGACCTGTATCCATAATATTAACCACTGACCTGTATCTCGAGCACTGACCTTTGACCTGCAGCACTACTTTCTGTCTCAGGATGTCTTTGTCCCTGTAGATGGTGCAGATGTATCCTCCACTGTCTCTCTCTGTGGGGTGTTTCAGGGTCAGACTGAGGTCTCCAGTTCTCAGCAGGTCTTTATTCATCTTTGTTCGGTCTCTGTAAACTTCGTCCTGAGTCATAAGGTTATCATTTCTGTTAGAATACTCATGGACTGTGATGAGTCCAACTTCAGAGCGAGTCCACTCCACTGTGGTGTTCTTGGGCAGGTCAGGTGTTGTGTTGCAGGGCAGGATGACAGACTGTGACCCTTCCCTCACCATCACCTCCACCTGCTGGTCTGAGAGGACAATAAACCATAACATCAACTGTAGAAGCAGCAAAATTCCTCTGAGTGTTTTGTGCTGGGTGATGCATAGAATGTCATTTATTTACATATTTACAGAAATGTGTGTGGTAAACACAGCCCTCTGCACACAAGCTGACATGAGTCTAATGTCACAACATCAATTTCTGAAGTAGCAGCAGTCATATTGATGGTAATGTGAGCAACACTTGATGTCTACATTCCTTACCTTTGACTCTGTCGTGTAACCAGAGCACACATACACTGCTCAAAACAATAAAGGGAACAAAAATAAGACATCCTAGACAACAAAAAAATCACACAAAAATTATCAATCGAAATCAAATTTAGCAACCCATGGAGGTCTAGATTTGGAGTCGCACTCAAACTTAAGTGGAAAAAACACTATAGGCTGATCCAACTTTGATGTATGTGCTTAAAACAAGTCAAAATGAGGCTCAGTAGCGTGTGTGCCTCCACGTGCCTGTAGGACCTCCCTACAATGCCTGGGCATGCTCCTGATGAGGTGGCAGATGGTCTCCTGAGGGATCTCCTCCCAGACCTGGACTAAAGCATCTGCCAATTCCTGGACAGTCTGTGATGCAACATGACTATGGGCAAAAATCTGTGCCATCAGAAACTGAATTTGAATAAGTTAAATTTTAATTTGAATTGATCGGATTGAATCTGAATTGTAACTTGAATAAATGCTTTTAAAAACTGAATATGAATTAACCTAACTTGAAATTCAATTTATTGGTTTTAAAATGATCATCACTAAACTCAAATTGAATTTTATATTTTGAAAATGAATTTATTTGCTTTGAAACTGTATTTTATCCTTTAAAAATTTAGCTCTCGAATAATTTCAGATTCATTTCTCACCATTCAGTTTCAGTTCTACAATTCAAGTTCAGTTCCAAAATTCCGTTTTTTGGGACTTACATCCGGTTCCGGTTCAACAGTAATGAGCGCAGATTGATAGAACTACATTTTACTAGTAGTGATGGGATTTCCGGCTCTTTTTAGAGAGCCGGCTCTTTCGGCTCCCAACCGGCTCTTCAGGTTGTTTTGTTGCTTTAGTTAATTTATTATTAACAATAATATAAAATTATGCACAAAAGGAATTACTAACAAACAATACACATATGCTTTCAATTGTGTAATTTAAGTGATCCAGGTAGCTCTGTTTTGGAAGTTCAGTTAATGCTAGAAATGTGTTTTGGAGTGTGTACATGTTTTGTCTCTAGGGGCCACCGTATATATTTATATATAAACATATATAAATAAAACCAAGGTTTTTTACATTTGTGTATTAATACACAAGCACTCATATATATTCAAATAATTTTAAAAAAAATGTTCATTTACCTGTTACTAAAACACACACCAAATCCGGTCGCTGGTACTTGCTGGCTTGTGTGGCCACTAGGTAACAAAGCTCAACACTGCCCCTAGCATCCTGGAGCACTTCTGTTGTGTTTTGTACGTGTTCTGGAGTTTGTATGTGCTTCGGAGTTTGTACGTGCTTCGGAGTTTTTACGTGTTCTGGCGTTTGTACGTGCTATGGAGTTTGTACGTGCTATGGAGTTTGTACGTGCTTCGGAGT